TGAGGTGTGGCTGTGTGTAGCGGCTCTGCTAGCACAGCAAATCATGACCTCTGAGGATGAATGATCTGCAAAAAAGATGGAGACAGGTTTTTATGAGAAGCCCCCCTGCTCTCAAAACAGTTTGTTCTTGAATAGTTTGAAAACTGAAAGACTGTGCTCATGCCTGGAGCCTGTCTGTAGGAAGCTGCCACTGTCCCATAGACAGCAAGGGGCAGATAGGGTGTATGGGCTCTTCTGAAAGATGGGCAATAGAAATTGAGAGGTTACTCTGCAATTGCTTTTGGCTCAGCAGTGGAAGAGGTATGAATGTAGAAACATACCTCCTCTACATGATGAGCACAGTGTTCTTAGAAAGCCTCAGGCTTACCCTGCTGCTTTACGTATTAGCATACAGAGAATGCAGGAGGTGGAAGACCGTGTTATTTGATGTGACCTGCCTCCCTACTCACACATGTGTGAAATAGTGGCAGCTTTGTGGTTTCTGCTGTGCATCAGCAAATAATGTGCAGGATCAGGCCTGACTGTTTGCACCAAGAGCCTCATATTAAAAGCTCTGTTAGAAATTCTTGGCATAGCTTGCAAATGACTGATAGTCTAATTTCTTAAAAAGTACAGGGCTCATGAAGAAGGGTCAGGGAGCCTTAAGTATTTCCTATTTAAACTCACCAGACTCTTGGCCATCTTCTCTTTCAGAGATTCCATGCTTCCTTTTCCTCAGCTCTTGGTTAGAAAAATACAAGCAGTGTGATCTGCTTTGTATGTTGCTGGAGAAGCTTCACTTCTTAGCTGTGCTGCTATATTAAGCCCTGCTTTTGCATGTGACCAGCAGCTCCAACTTCACAGTTTTCTTGAGTAGGCATTTGCTTTTGTTGATATGTTTACATGTGCGATCTCTTTTTTTTCTTTTTGTGTGTGAGGTTTTTTGTTTTGTTTTCTTGTCCCCATCCCCACATGCCCCAACCTGCTGTCTGTTTGCAGTTTGATGCCCTGGATGGAGCTGGATCGCGAGTATCTCTACCTGTCTCAAGCAGAGAACATCCAGGCCTACCGTCTCTGTCCAGATGGTACAGGTTTGCAGCGTCACCCTCAAGCTATCTTCTCCGGCCACCGGGAGGATGTATGTCGCTTTGTTCTCGTCAACTCCCACATCGTCAGTGGAGGGGGGTAAGTTGGGCGAGTGAAGGATCCCAAGGAGTGTGGCAGTGAAGTTGGAAAGGTTGTGTACAACTCCAGCCCAGAGCAGAGTCGTCAATCTTGCTACACAGTGTCCTCATGCTTGGCTGTGTTCAACTGCTGCTGCTTCCTCTCTTATGATTTGATTCTCTCCTGAAAAGGTTTCTACTCCAGCAATGGAGAAGCTGAGTCTCACACTATAGACCTTACAAAGTGTCCTTTTCTCCTTTGAACTTGTGTAGATGTTCACAGGATTGTTGAATCAGGATTGACTGATCAGGCATTTTCATTTCTTTCCCTGTTAGGGTAGCTAGACTGTGTTCTAATATTCAGAACTGCTGGTTAACAGGGGCCATGGTGGTGCATAAAGCTTTCTAGAGACAAGTATAAGTTTATTAGATCTACTGATGTAATTGTGGAGAGGGGGGAAACTGCCAAGCATTCCGGTACGCACACACTTCTCCAATTAATTTTGCATTTGACTGGCCTTTTACAATTAGAGCAAATGAGAGAACTGTTATTTATAAAGTTTTAGCTTTTGATATACACAGCACTTAAGCACAGAATTGGGAGATGCAAGCATGGCTGTCTGCCCTGGATATCTTGACTTTCCCCTGTGAACTGCAGCCCAAAATTCAGGTGAAAATGAAGGCATGCATTTAAAATACCTGTAACTGTATTGGTTGAAAAAAGTTTAAATGTCTTCGTAGTTAATTCAAAGCACAATACCCTGCTCTGAAATGAATGAAAAGCTGAGGCTTGAACATGGGTAAGAGTGACCTCTCACTTGTCCTCTTACTCCAGCCATTCAGTACCCAGCCAGGATTCTGGCAAGCTCAAAGCAGTAGGAGGAGGAATGGCTGCTCTGCTAATTTCTGCAGCTTAATGCAAAGTGGAGGGTGGAAAGACAGCCAGGAAAATTTTCATGTGCGGTAGATCAGGCTTTGACTGACCAGATGTGGGATTGCAAGAGAACAGGTGAAGTGTGAGGAGTGGAGGGTTAACAATGCTGCATGATTTTCAACTCCCATGAGATATCAGTCGTGGTCTTTTTGTGGCACTCCTAAGCACTAATGGAAGGTGCGTGGCCAAGGGAGATGCAGCTGATACAGACTACTTGCCTGGGGATTTGTTTTTCAGAGATGGAAATATTGTCCTTCACAAGATCCACAGCTCCTACAGCTTCAAGTTCTCTGCGCATGAACAGGAGGTGAACTGTGTGGACTTCCAAGGTGGCCTTATTGTCAGCGGCTCCCGGGACAGAACAGCAAAGGTGAGCAGCGATGTTCCAGCAGCTGCAGGTGCTGCTGCAGAGGTTACCTCAGAGGTCTTGTGCCATGAATATTTAAGTGTCAGCAAAACAGTTGTGAGCCCTGTCTTGAATGTCTGCAGGAGGAGCATCTGCAGGAGGGTATCTTGGCATAGCCTCATGTCTCTGAAAAGGTGCTTGCTGTGCCAAGCATTTGAGAAGGAGATTTGGCTGTACTTGATGACATCAGCTGCTGGTTTAACTAGGAAGTGCAGAAGGTGGCAGCTGATATTTTGGTTCTTTCACTGTACATCTGGCTAACCCTGTAGTGGAGATCCGTGCCAGTTAGTCTGAAATTTGCCATATTTATCTTAAGCACACCCTTGCTTTGCAATGCAGTTCTACTTCACATATTCTGTTGTATATTTGATCTCTAAGTCATAGCATGATGTGTTTTCCAAATCTGTGTGATTGTGGTTTATTTGTTTGTGGTTTGTTTGATGTGGGGTTTGGGGTTTTTTTTGTTGTTTTGATTGTTTTTGGGGTTTTTTAATTTTTTATGGTTCTTGGTTTGCAAAGCAGGAGTGAAGTTAGACTATGAATACTGTTGGCTCCCATTTTTGTCTTCCAGTTGGCATCACTGAATCCTGTCATGTTATTTTTGGCTATTTCTTTTTGAGGCAGGACCTTGTTGATTTCTGTCCTTCTGGATCTGGTTGGCAGTGCCGTGTTCCTACATGGACCCTGGGAGTTGCTCTCCTGAGCTGTAGCCAGCTCTGTTTTAGTAGTTTAGGAAGCTGCATGTAGGTGTTTCACCCTTGTCCTGTTGGCACGATGCAGTACCTGTAGCATCTTCACAACCACTTGTTTCATTGTTAGAATTGGTTGCTGTATGTTGAAAGCTTTGGCTGTTGCTCAGGGTAGGCTGATGGATACTCTTGGTCCCTGGTACATATAGTAGAGCATTAATGGAAGTAAGAGGAAAAACTGCTATTCTTGTGTTGCACGGGTGGAAGCTGGGGCAAAGAAAGACTTACATGTCTCTTTCAAGGTTTTATAGGAAGTGTGTGGTAATGGGTAACTATCTGACAGGCTGCTGAGCAGCATGACCCTATCTATTCTTGTCGGTCGCTCTGTATGGGTGTATTCCTGGGTAAAATCACTCCCTGGCAGAGCAGTGTTCATATGCAAAGGGCACTGTTGGGGATGCTGCTTGCCTCCTGGGAACAAGGCCATGATGCTGCTTTGTCTCACGTTTAAGCAGGGCTGTGGACCCTTTTTGCTGGGAGAGTGCCTTCTTGCTGCTTCGCTGACAGCTGGAGGACAGACCTCCCCGACCTTGAGAACAAATTCCTGAAGGCCAGAGGGGAATTCAAGGCTGTTTTTCTTGGAGCTAGTGTGAGATCTTGCCCACCCAGTGCTCCCCATAGCAGAGGCTCTAGAGATGTTCACCTCCTATTTTTTATCATCTCTTTTGTAGGCTGCCTTGTTTGCTTGAATGAGACTCTTGGAGGGTGGAAGGGAATCCCTACCAGCCTTTTAAAGGGGCTGTAAGTGTCTAAGCTATTGAGGGCTCTGCTGAGTGTTGATTAGGACTAAGCCCTGAAGAGCTGCTAATGTACATTCCTGTGTGATAGGCACCAGATAGTGTGCTCTGAGCAATATTTTTAACCTGCAGGAGATAGGGATGCCTTAAAAGAGTTAAGCTTTTCTGCTGCTTTTGCTGACACTAGGTGCTAAATTCCCCGCTGACAAGAATAGCCTGCAATCCTGGGCATTATCAACAAACAAACAAATAGGGCACTCCCAGCTTTGAAGTGAAACATTGGGGGTCGGTTACAGAGAGCTGGGGAGCTCAAATCCTGTGGGCCAGGAGTGAGGGCAAGGTGGGCAAAGTGAGGGCCACAAGCAGAGGACCCAGCAAGAATCTGGGGGACTTTATTTAGGACCCAGAAACAAAGATGTGTGTGTGGTGTGCATGTATGCACTGATGGGGGAGGGAAGAGATTCTCTTGCATTGTCAGTGAGCAAGGGGACCCTGTTTGAAAATAGCCTGGGGTACACTTAAGAAACTTCCTTGAAAGGGGATTGTTTTATAAAAAACTCCTTTACAGCATAGCGAACAATTAATTTTATAGATAGTATGAATGGAAAATTTCCAGGGATGGTACAAAGTCTTCCCATACTGTTCAGGAGGACAGTAGAGATTTGAACAAATACCACTTCTGGTTTATTTAACTACAGAAGATGAGAAATCTGTGAGTGCTTCCCTAGAGAGCATGTGGCGATGGGAGTGCGCTCTCTGTTCCCTGTGATAAAGTGGGATGGGAGGTGATGCTCATAAGCTGAATTTTGCGTAACTTTAAGTGCTTGTTTCTGCCAGTGACTGAAGGCTCTGCTCCTCAAAAATAAGTAATGACAATTCAGGGAGAGGATCTCAGGAAAGGTAAACATGGCAGTTTTGGCAACTCTTCCAGCACAACATTGGCAGTGTGCATCCTACCTTCTGCACCTTCTGGGTGATGTGGCATAACATACATCTCTCTCTTTAGGTTTGGTCCCTGTCCGCGGGCAGAGTTGGGCAGTGTCTACATACAGTGCAGACAGAGGATCGAGTGTGGTCCATTGCTATCAGCCCATTATTAAGGTAACTGAGATCTCTTTATTCCCAATTTCCAACAGAAAAAGGAGTTGGATAGGCTGTGTGTCCACAAATCTCTGCGGCACCAGAGTGACTCTTCAGGGACTTGATGTGGGTGGAGGCTGATCAGATGCTTGTGCCTGCAGCAGGAGCTCAGGGCAGAGCGTGTGGTCTTTGTTCCCCAGAACAGTTGAGTGGTCTCCTCATAAAGTGGCTGTGGAAATGGCCCTGTGTTCCTGTTACTGTCTCAGGGGGGACCTGTTCGTTCTTACTTGCAGAGCAAACTCTCTGACTTACTCTGCCTTGCTAGTTAGAAGCAATGAGCTGGATCCTCTTGAGGTCTTCTGTACTGAAAAGATACAAACTTGTGTTCTCATTCTCTGGCAGAAGAGATGCCAGGCCAAAAAGGTCCGTGCTTTTTTGCTTGGGAAGCTAGCTTGGAGCTGTGTGCAGTGGTTAGAGAGCTCTGTTTTCTTGGTAAATTCAACATACTGGACTGGGAAAGATGGAACTGAAATTCAGGGATGAGGTTTTCCATCCTCTACTGCCTGTAGTCCTGTGCTTCTAGTACAGGTGTAATGCTACAACTACAGCTTCAGCATGGGAGCAAGGGCAGTACCTACACCAGGGTCTTCCAGGGTGTTTTTCAAAGTGCTGCTATTCTTGAGTTAGTGAAAATCTGAAAAACTTAAACTCTGACTGTTAAGATCTTCCACTGGTCAGCAATGATCTGTCTCTTTGGTGCACTGTTAAGCTGGTCTTCTGCATGCATGAGAGTCTTTCTCAGCCTTCCTCAAGGGAGAGAGGAAGAAAAGCTGTTGTTGCTGTCCATATGATATCTGCAACTAGTGAATTTTAGGCTCATGCAAAACCACAATACTTCCCACAACTGCTGTCCTCATTAGATTTGCAAGCTTGTTTTGCAGGCAGCAGAAACTTAGTGGTATGGAGCTAATGGTATTATCAGGGAAATGACCCTTGAGGCCTGCTATGATTTTGCCATTGCCTTGTCCCATTGCTCTGAGTGTTTGGGACAGATAGTGTTTTTGAAGACATGCCATGTGCGTTAATGCTGCTGTAAGATGTTAGATAGGAGCCCTTTGCTGTCTTCTGTGCTGTGAGGGCCCCTTTTCTAGCAGACAGGCTCTGGCTCTAGCACCATGGCTGGTTAGAGCCCAGTGGCATGCTGCTTCCTACTCTTAAGTGATGACCTACTGAGGTGGCCTCTTGTCAGGACAGTGTTCCTCTCCCTGGTGTGCACGCTTGTGCACGCTCTCTGTCACAATATTTACCCACTGTCTCCCCACCCCACCCCCCTTTCCTCCCTGCAGGGTGATAAATGGGAGATGGTGGAACAGCTACCCCATGAACAAGTGGGCTTAAATTGTGCACTCTCTCTTTTTTTTTTTTTTTTTTATGAGACTGTGGACTGTACTGGCCTCCCCCACTAGCCCACCCTACCGCCCCCCCTATACCCCTCCATATTTTGGGGGGGGGGGGGGAGGGGATCTAGCGCCACAACTGGCCCCCCCCCCTAGCCCCCCCTCCATATTTTGGGGGGGGGGGGTAGAGAATTAGAGCCAATTAGCCACGTCATTAATTCTTCAATTTGACGGCTGATATAGCAGGGCCTGAAACACGCTGCTGACCCCATATAATGGGAACCCTGCTCCTTAACATATTGACGATGGGAGAAGTTAATTAAAATTCCACAGAGAGAAGGTGTCGGCTAACCTATAAACCTGTCGCTTCTCAGAACAAATCACAGCCATCCTAGAAGAGAGAGAGAATCAGAGCAGGAGGGCATGTGGTGGGGGAGGGCCAGGGCAAGGGGCAGGGGAGATGAATTTTTCACTAATAGGTTTTATTGCTTGCTGTCTAATGAGGGTGAGTATCAAAAAGATAATATCTGGTTTCTAGCAAGATCTGCTTTGGGGAGCTCTGTGGTTTCTGCTTTATTTGCAAGAGCCCATATTTCAGCCATATGCATTACCTATGCACTTGTGTGTGAAGCTTTTCCTCCCTGGCAGCCCTGTCCTTGCCAGAGCTTGGATGCATTTGTTCCTCAGTGAGGCTGAACATGGCCTGTAACCTCTACTTCCTCCTAAACATTTGATGTGCCCTCCTGATTCTCCCTTCTGACTTGTGGTGGTATGAACTGAGAGCTTCTCCATAAGAACAGATAGTTCTGCTGGTGTAGAACTGCTGTAGAATCAGGCTCCAACCACCTAAGTATTTTGGCCCATCATTGCTGAGAACCTACCAGCTCTCTCTACTATGGACACATAGAGCTCAGGAACAGCTCAAAGCAGTTGTGCACGGTGGGGTAAGAGCAGGGAGGGCTTCTCTAATTCTAGCCATTCAACAGGACTTTGGAGAGGCTGCAGTTTCCTGTCCTGGAGGTTTGCCAGGACTGAGACTCCCTAGAGTAGTCAAGGTTGTGTTCTTACTGAACCTCAACTGTTAACGGGCAGGATGGGAACTTTTCTTCTTCCTTTTCAGTGATATCTCCCTCTGTGTGAAGCTTCCTTAGAAAGTATCCCATGCGCTCCTGACCCACAGCTGGGTTTTCTGCTGGACTGCTTCTCTAATAGGCAATGCCTGTACACCCAAACTAAACTTCAGAGACTTGTGTTCTTAAAGTGTAGCTCCTCTGGCTTCAGCCATCTTTCTTGGGTATTCTGTTTTGATTTGTCTGCAGTTTCCCTACAGAGATCTTCCTGAAGATGCGCTGAGCTAGAGAGGAGGCTTCCTTGTTCTTTGTAGTGATGCTGGGCTGGATGCTTGGAGGATCTGCAAACAGAATGATGCCTGTAAGGGAGATTAAGTAGGGTAAAAGGGCACCAAGAGTACGGGATCTTCTCTTCTTACTGTGTATGGGAGAACCGTGCTTAGTCCTTTGTATAACCCCTTCAGCCATGGAAGTGCCTTCACATCCATGTTATTGGAGCTTCGTTGCTTTGGGGATCCCTAACAGTGCCCTGCAGGGCAGTGGGGATGGGGAGGGCGTTGTGTTCCTTCTGGGTTTTCAGCAGGTCTTCTGTGTAGCTATGCTGCTCAGTGCGCTCGGGACAAGTCCCGTGTTGCCTGTCACATCAGGGACTAGAGAAGAGTCTGAGAGTATCCTTAAAATAGGGTGCCTCAGCTTGCTCCAGCAACTGTTTTAAATGGTCTCCAAAGCTGTCGTACTCCATGGATTAGTAAAATGCTGTACTTAGAGAGGCTGTGTACCCTAAACCATGTTTCTTAGCTACTTGTAATCCCCTTCCCCCCGAGTTCATTTGCCTTTTGAACTCTGCGTTGTGCAGATGTTAAACTTTCATTTGCTGGTGCTTACTGCAGTGACTTATGTGTGCTCAGGGACCAGGGCAAGCCTGAGTGCAGTGGACCAATTCAAATGTGCAAAGTGAGGCAAACCTGGGGATTTCTAGTGGAGTAGTGGCACCTTCATGCTTTGCAATTCCTTGAGGTGGCAGTAGCCAGGGAAGAGAAGTGACCAGTGTACACTGTTTAATTTGAGGGACAGGTTTATGGAGAAAATGAGGTCCAATTGCCTGGCAATTATGGCTGCAGAAACATAAGGTTTATGATATATGTTGTACTACTGAAATGTTCCTTTATTTAGGAGAAAAATTGTTGTAATGTTTTTTCCATAATGATAGAGAAGCTTGGAAACTGGAGGGGAAAGAAACAAGTGGACCTTGATGTTGAATTCAATATTAATCTTGGATTCAGAAATTCTTTGGTATTGGATTAAAAAAAGTAAAAAGTATTTAAATCTAAGCTGGCTTCTCCTGCTGGGTCTGGCCACTGGCATTTGCTATTTAGGTTTTTAAATATTTACCATGAGAGCTGGTCTTCCCATGGTGGTACTCGAAGTGTGTCAGATTTTAAACCCAGAAAAGAGATGATGGAGGCACAAAAATGGTTTTCAATGTGCAACTATAGATAGAGAGCTAGGAAATCTTTGGTGCAATTTGGGGCAATGTCAGGCCACCCTAATGTGCCCTACTGTGGCAGAGATGTGCTTTGGGTGTGTAAGCCCAAAAGATGGTCTCTCCTCTTCCAACTGTGTACATGACCTCTCCTTGCAAATGTTGCCATGGTGAAGTGCAAGTTTACTCCAGAGAGGAGGAAAGTTTGTACCAAAGACTAGCTATCTGCATCGAATATTTAATTTAAAGTAAAATGAGTAGTTCTGTGAGCAGTTGAATTTAAAAAGCCAGGCTTGCTCTACCTTTTCTATTTATGCAGTGCTGTAGCTGAGACCTGACTCCTCTATTTTAACATGCTAATTTGAATTTCTGTTAACCTAATTGCCTCTCCCATGGAATATTATGGGGAAGTAATATCTGGGGAGACCTCAGACAAATTGTAAAACATACCCAAAACTTGTTGGGGAAAGGAAGGAAGAGAACGGTTACTGACAGGCACCTTGACTGAATGGGCCTCTCTTCCATTGGGAACAATCAAAATGATTAATTTTGAGGGCTTCTTTTTAATGGTTATCTGGAAACTTTTTGTGAAAGTGCAACAATCTGATCTTGCAGATTGCATTAGAGCAGAACAACCCACTTGAGTCAGAGCAACTTTGCAGTAGTTTTAGCTGTACAACTGAAGCCCTAATGTGCAGCAGTTAAAATGTTTGATAATGTTCCCCCCACCCTCATTTCTTGCTCCACTTTTATCAGCAGATATCCCCTACTGCATATCAAGATGAGCTGTTAGCTGTAGTGGTGCTCTGTTTTGACGTAGCTTTGCACAGTTAACCTCTCTGAGTCTGCTAGGATGTGGGACAAGTAGGTTTTATTCTGGTTTGTGCATTGCCAGCAAAATAGCAGGCAGCAATACAGGCAGCAATAGCTCTGCTGTCCTTGGGGATCTCTGTAGAGCCTGGTTGGTTTGAATAATTGAGAGAGGACTCTGACCTGCAGCTGTTTCTTAAGCAGGGGCAGGAAGAACCTGCTCAACTGTGAGATCCCAGGGTGGACTTGCAGAGTTAGTGG